TTTGGTTAGCAAACCATTGGCCTGGGTGATTGAACCGTCGATCTGGACAATAGTTTTGTCCATTTTATATATTTTTTAATTTTTTGTTAGAACGGGTCGTCCATTCTATTCAAATGGCCAGATCATTTGACCCAGGAATCAGACCCCTAAACGATTCATTGTTCGGTTCGATTTTAAAAACCTTTGAAAAAACAAACCAAAGGTTAAGATCCTAGTAGGCTTCAAGTAAGAAGCCGAATTTTGTTTCATATGATAATGGCATAATGTCATACGTGGCTTCCTATGGGTTCCATTATACATGAAGTGATGCCCGGTTTGATGGTTCAATCTTTAGGGTCAAACGGGTTGGCCAATCTCTCTCTTTCTCTCTATGGTTTTGTTTTCATGCGTCAGTACTTTATGTCAATTGATCATTTATTGGAAATGTTTCAAAATCCTTGATAGAGTTTAGGATAAATTAAAGAATGGTACCTATACTTTGTAGTTGGGATTAGTTGAAAGTTTTAGGTGTTCAGTCGGGTGTGGCATGTAGAACCGAAAAAAAGTTGACCCAGTCTGCGAATCCGACCCAACTCAACCCAAAAAAATCGGGTTAGGGTCTCATATTTAGCTACTTGAATGTGAAAATGATCCGACTCGACTTAATCCGAAAAAAACTAGGTTGGATTGGGTTGGATCATGGATCAATCCGCCGACCCAATTGTCAAGTCTAATTGGGATTATTTATGCATTATTAGAAGTTTTCACTCTTTAATTTTTTTCTATTTAGTCTTTACTTTTTATTTACTCTTTAAATTGTTAAATGTTCAATTTTTTTATTTTATATTTGGAATTTTAAGATTAATTCTTTTAATTTTGACATTTTTCATGTAATTTTTCTTTATTTTTATAAATTTCAATTATTTTTGGGGATGACCTGAATTAAACCATGGGTCAACCCTAACCCAAACATTTAGGGTTAGGGCCTAGCATTTGAGAACCCAACCCAAATTCAACCCGAAGTACCTTTACCCACTCAACCCAATTGCCAATTCTAGGCATTAGAGATAAGACTCCACATCAGTGATAAAATACATGAGATCCACACAGAGAAGTTGAATGATTGTGGGCCATATGTATTTTAAGACTTAAAGCGTTCGGCTAATCCTATTTCTATACTTTGAAGGTAGTGACACTTAAGGCCTGAACTTTTTAATTACTATAATTTAGTTTAGTGCCCAAAACTTTTTACATATACACTTAAGTCCAATTACATGAAGTAAGATAAATATAAAACTAGCGGGGTAAAATAGTGTAGAAAAACAATTCTTAAAAATATATCAGATTTTCTGCTTTTGAGGGGCTGCGAATAATGACAATGGTAAGGGTCTCATAGCAATATGTAAACAACACAAAGGGTGTTTTGACAGTTTTGACAGTTGCAGGAATATGTTTTTGAAATAAATTAATTAAATATTTGAAAGGGGTGTAATAAGAAATGCGCATGAGAATTTAAAGAGATAAACATCAAATATGAAATATTTATTATAATAAATTAATATAGATATAATATATTAAAATTTATTTTGTATATATTTTAGTATATAATATAAAAAAATATTTGTTTATTATTTTGAATATAATTATAGATATTTTATATGTTAAAATCTATAAATATTATAATATATATAATTACATTAAGATTTTAATTGAATCAGATGATAAAACTGGTGCAACGTGACAAAAATAGTTCATCTCCAAGTCGGTTTTATAGAAAAAAAAAAAGAACTTCATATAAAAAGCAGACTAACAATCAGCCAATACGAAAATTTCAATGTCTAGAAAAAGCGGAGGCTCATTATACATGTCATCAAATATAAAGACATCAACATTTATTGTCTAAGTACTTGTAACAAATAAACAAATACAACACATTTCATTGTTTACAGATGCAATCAATTTAAAAAAATGGAGGCTCATTGAAATGAGTCAAATGACACCGTCGAATAAAAAAGTAATGGAGGCTCATTGAAAGGACACCATCAGTTGTCTGGCGTTTCGAGCCTCGAGCTGAGTTGATATTTGCTAAATGAAATACTTTCCATATGTAGTTTCTCACCAATAGACTTGTTCATGAGCGGGGCTGGGTCGGGCTCGGGTTGGGTTTTTATTCTTTATTAATGGAAATTTGTTAGGTTCGAGCCCGAGTTCGGCTCGATCAACGGGCTTACAATTTGGGCCCGTCTGGCACCCGAGCCCGAGTCTGAAGTCTGAGCTGAGCTTGTTGTTGGTGATTATGTTCGTCGGAGCTGAGTTTACGGTGACTGTGAGCTGCGACCTGTGATTTTAGCAGTGATCAATTCGTGTCAGAGAGAGAGAGAGAGAGAGAGAGAGGACTCATTGCCGGAGTTGTTGCGTCGGTGAATGTTCATCGCCTCACCGGTTGCGTGGTTGCTTGAGAGTGTGAGGACTGAGGACTGAGAACTGTGGAGGATGTGGAGAAGAGAGGTTCGACTGGAAAAAGAGGTGAAAGAAAGAGGGGTAATTCAACTAGGGTTTTTAACTTCAATTATAGGTCGGGCCGGGTCGGGCTATTTTGGCAAATCTCGAGCCCAACTCGAATTTATTGCAAGTCGGACTTTTTGGCCCGAGGTTAAACCCACAGGTCCATTTGCATGTTCAAGCCCGTCGGGGGCACCCGGCCCATGAACAGGTCTACCCACCAATCACTAACAACTGTCATATTAATTTTAAATTTCGATTAAATTTTACACATCTACCAATATTTTAAATCCTCATTCCATGAAGAATGAAGAAAAAAAAATTTTTATCCGTCAAATTGGTCGAATTCCAACCATGAATATAATTCATTCCAATTCTATGAAAATCACAAAACAATTAATTAAACAAACGAAAAAGAAAGAGAGAAATCATGTTGGGCCGTTCAACTTACAGTTTGGCTATTTCCCCAGTTCCTCTGTTCTTCTTCAACCCTCACACCTCCCCCCACCCCTAAATTACGTGTTGTGAGTAACAACCACTGAATAATAAGAGCAATCATCCACTAAGGGGTGGCTACAGCTGGAGGAGTCTGGCCGTCTGATCCCTTTGAGTCTTTGATGGTCATCAGACGACTGACGTAAACCATCATCCATCTCCGTCCCATTAATATCCTCTATCATCCACACTACTACCTAAAAATCAGGCCGTTGATCAAGCACAGTCGACACACACCATGGCTATCGCAATTGCACCATCTCTTCCTCTCCTCTATGTTCTGATATTTCGTCAGCTCCATATCGAACACCTCAACCATCTATTCTTCTCTCTCTCACCATTGACTTGACCCACCTAGGCAAATCAATCCCTTCATCCCTAAACGATGCCTGATTCGAGGCCTTCCCTGTCAACAACTCTAGTAACAATACACCGAAGTTATACATCAAAACATGTTCGAAATGCCACTTTTTTTTCATTTTAATACAAATTAAAAATGAAAAGAGGAATTTCCCTTGCTCGAGCCAGAGATAAGCGAGAGAAAGAGAAGGAATTCGGCTTAAAAAAAAGAAAAAAATCGTACCATGCAGAAGAGCAAATAAACTTCCGGCGGCATGTTATCGTAGACAAGTAGCTTCTCGTCCTTTGTTTAGTAAAATGCTCTTAGAGGAACCACAACTCCATCTGCATCTCGAATTCATTCTTTTGAACCACTGCATCCTCGAGTCTCTTCGTCCCTTCCTCTACAACCGCTTTATATGAAGTACCGACACTTTCTTTCCCCAAAACCACCATAGAAAGAGAGAGAATGCATTAGAGAAGGAAGAAATACAAAGGGAGTTGAGAGAGGGACCAGAGAAGTGGAGAGAATCTGAGAGCGTAGGATGATGGCTTTCTCGGCAAGCTTCTCCTCGGAAGAGGTGAACGAAAAAGGATGGGAGGGGCTGGTGAAGGTGAAGGTTAACAAGTGCCGGGCAGTAACCTCTGAGGGTGCGGAATGGTTGGGAGCATGCAAGGGGCCATTGGCTGTCAAACATCAGGACGCCAGTGCTAGTCCGCCTGTAGTAGTCATGGGGAAGAGATAAGAGAGGGGGAGTCGGAGGGAGGACATGACTGAGAGAGAGAGAGGGATTCATGGGGAAGTTGAAAGTAGGAACCAGAGACCGGAGATGGCTTGCTTGGCAAGCTTGAACACCAGAACAAAGAAAGAGAGGGCAGAGAAAGATAGAAGAGAGAAAAAGTGAAGGTATTTACTGCACGGAGAGACCATCCCAATCGTTTTATATATATAATCAACATGTAAACATTGCTCAATGTTAATCCATCCTTATCATTTGGAGACTTTATTAGAGTTTAGAGAATTCCAAAAATTGAATAATAAAAATAGGAGAAATCTCAACATAGGGGATTTCATGATTTCAAGTATTTAAACTTTCGAAAACTATCAATTTAATACTAGCTGTTGGCAGTCCGTCAGTTATTATTTCAAAATTCCAAAATTATCCTTTTAAAAAGACAGTTAATTGTCAACCAGATCAACATGAAGAGTCTCAAATGCTCTGAAAATTACGAAATCTTAAAGATAAAGGAAAACAACGGTTAAAACAAGATTTCTTCCACGATGAGCAGATGAGGCTCTCTGAATGCAGGCTGGCAACGGTTAAAACAAGGTTTCATCTCTAAATTCTGAAAAGAAGAAGCAGCAGAATCATGACTCTTAATCGATATTGGAAAACCCATTAGAAATTGAAGGCTGGCGAAGAGAAAGAGCGACGGGCTTCATGTTCTTGGAACAGGGGAATTCTGTCGACGATCGCCGGCGGGACAATACGAAGCGTGGGCAAAGCAGGTTTACTTTTTTTAAACAGGAATCCAGCTCTGAGATTATGGTGTTGAACACAAAGAACAGGCTAATTAAAAGAAAATTAGATGATATTCGAAGGATATTTGTGTCATTTCATATACCACTTAACATATATTAACGATTTTGGACTAGACATGTTTTGACTTCTGAAGTTCGGATGCTACCTTGCGACAACCTATGAATTTTTAAAATTCAGTTTTGAAGTAAAAGTTCATTTTTCTCCAGGTTGGAATTAAAATGTCAGCACTTGAAAGTTCAGACTCCAAATCAATCGAGGTCTGTTGACTCTTCTCTTTAACCCCATCTTCTCTTCCTCTAACAAAACACCCAACTCTGTTCGTTGTCTTAAGGAAGAAGACCTAATTCTATTCACCATTTCAATCGGTTTGACATTCACGATTCAAGGTTTGTGGCTTGTCACCCGAGTAATCCTTTGGAAGCATGGTTGAATGAGGAACTTTAGTAGCTGATTCAAGGTTTGTGGCTTGTTACCCGAGTAATCCTTTGGAAGCATGGTTGACTGAGGAACTTTAGTAGCTGATTCAAGGTTTGTGGCTTGTCACCCGAGTAATCCTTTGGAAGCATGGTTGAATGAGGAACTTTAGTAGCTGATTCTCTCTGTCAGATTCAGGCCAGTGTGGATGGCAGATCATTCACCGAGGACTCCCTTTTCTTTCGCATATCTGGGCCGATTTTCCGTATCTGTTATCTTCTTGCGCCCAATATTGGTTGCAGCATGTAATGCGGTGTGGCTAATGGGCTAGCAAATGCGGCAAAGCTATGCCATGTTGCTGAGACAAAGTCTTCTCCTTGTCGGCTGTCCATATCTTTGCCTCCAGAACCAACGGTCGGGTTTCCATTCCCAAACCCAGTTAGTGCAGCAACTCCAAAATTCCACCAATTTCGTTTCTGTAATCTCCATCCACTCAAACGTTTTGAAATCTGGATTTTCGAACGATACCTTCACCATCAATCATCTGATAAATGCTTACGTACGATTTCAGAGAACTGGCGATGCCCATCGACTCTTCGGCAAAATGCCCGAACCAAACGTTGTCTCTTGGACTTCTCTTATGGCTGGTTACATCGACGCTAACCAACCCGAAGTCGCTCTTTGGCTCTTCGAAAGAATGCGGGAAACTTCTACATGGCCCAATGCTTTCACCTTTTCTACTGCGGTTAATGCTTGCTCGATCCTTGCTGACCTTAAAACAGGCAGGAAACTCCATTCCCGCATCCAGATGCTTGGGTTTCAATCAAACCTTGTTGTTTGCGCATCCCTCATCGATATGTATGGGAAAACCAACCAAGTCGATGAAGCTCGTCAGGTGTTTGATACAATGGTGTACCACAACATTGTTTCTTGGACTTCAATGATGGCGGCATATGCCCAGAATGCACGAGGCCATGATGCACTGGAGCTGTTTAGGGAATTCGTTCGATTAAATTCAGACCCGCCGAACCATTTCATGTTGGCGAGTGTTGTTAGTGCTTGTGCAAGCTTGGGTAGATTAGTCACAGGGAAAGTGACCCATGCGGCTATAATTCGCGGTGGCCACAATTCAAATGATATTGTTGCCACTGCACTTGTTGACATGTATGCAAAATGCGGGTCCTTAAATTATTCCACCAAGGTCTTCCGACTGATCCAGAACCCTGGCGTGATACCATATACGTCAATGATAGCAGGAGCTGCAAAACATGGGCTTGGGACATTTTCCATTGAACTCTTCAAAGAGATGCTCGAGAGAGGAATTAGACCTAACGATGTCACCTTTATTGGGGTATTACATGCTTGCAGCCATTCAGGTCTCGTTGATGTAGGACTTGAATACTTGAATTCCATGTACACCAGGCATGGGATAACACCGGAAGCGAAACATTACACCTGCACTGTTGATATGCTTGGTCGCGCTGGCCGTCTGGATGAGGCTTACCAGTTGGCAATGGCTATCCAAGTAGAGCCTGATGACAGAGCACTATTGTGGGGCACACTGCTGTCGGCTAGTAGGAATCATGGAAGGTTGGATTTTGCTATCGAGGCAGGTCAGAGGTTAGTTGAATCAAACCAACAAGTAGCAGCTGCTTATGTCACTATGTCGAACACATATGCATCAGTTGGGAAATGGGATACTGCTCATAGACTCCGTTCTGAAATGAAACAACAAGGAATCCACAAGGAACCAGGGTGTAGTTGGGTTGAGATAAAGAATGCATTGTATGTCTTCTATGCTGGAGACGTGCAATCATGCGTTCGCGGGAGTGAGGTGGTGAAGTTATTGAGTGAATTGGAGGTGAGAATGAAGGAGAGAGGCTATGTTGGGGGTAGCAATGGATTGGTGTTTGTTGATGTGGAGGAGGAAGGCAAGGAGGCAATAGTTGGTCTCCATAGTGAGAGGCTGGCTTTGGGTTTTGGATTGTTAAGCATTCCTAAAGGGATGACTATTAGAGTGATGAAGAACTTGAGAATGTGTTGGGACTGTCATGAGGCCTTCAAACTCATAAGCGAGATTGTGGGGAGAGATTTCGTCGTCAGGGACATAAATAGATTTCATCATTTCAAAGATGGCTCTTGCAATTGCAGGGATTTTTGGTGATATATCATGCAATAACTTGTATATATTTTCATTCGACAAAAAGAGAATAAAAAATAAATGGATAAGTTAAACGACCTAAGTGTGGAACTAAAAGGCCCCATTACCTCCTAGGTACCCCCAGCTATCTGTGGTCTTGGGAGGGTGGACTTGTCATGACTTCTGAGATTAGTTTTATGTGCTTGCGTTTCTTCTTTACAATTATTATGCTTATAGGAAAAAAGTATGGTTTCCTCATAAACCCCACCATACCACAAGTGCAAAAATGATGTAAAGTTATCAATCAGTGTAAAGCATCTTCCTCCACTGCCTGAATGATGCACTATGGTGTAAAGGAATGCCAAGAGTTGCAACCGGTATTGATTAGAGCTACTTCAATGCTAGATTGTGGATCACTGCATTGCAGCATCAGGGTTCAAATGAAAAATGATTAATATAAATTTTTAGCTCAGATATCTATAATTGGAATATGTCATGGGGAAGGAAGAGCATCTTCCTCGAATAGTGTATTGACTTCTTTTGACAATGACTTGGGTAAAGCTATGGTGCAACCCAAACTCCAGCCTTCAAGGTCCTTTATGCTTATAATTCTCAGGAAGAGCAGTCTGTTAGACAATGTATGCCCTTAAGATCCAATGGATATTGTACATTGATTTTATTTTGAATAAAAGTTTATCTCTTAATTACATGTGTTGTTGACTATGCTTCCGTGAATTATCCCTTGAACTGTATTATAGAATTATGATAGTAGTTAACTTGCTTTGAGACACTCATAATTGGTATGCAAACTAAAAGTTCTTAGTGAATAAACTTGGGCAATTTATTCTGACAATGTTGACACAGCTGTACTGCCTTACGAGGAGTGGTTTGTCTCAACCATTTAGGCTACACCCAAGTATGAGTGTGGGTGTTTGTGAAATACTGAACTGAAGCACTTTTTCTCCCTTTTTCCCAAAGTTGCAGGGTTGTATGAAATCCTAGATTAAGATCATAGAGAAGGTTTTTTGACTCTAGGCTAGTGTTTCTTGCCTAGTAGCACTACGTATTGATTTTTGTTTGTTTCAGTTTAGCCAATGAAACATTCTGGGGGTGCGACAAAGCAACCTATGAACTCTGAGTTTGGTTAGGGTAGGGTCTATAGAGACAACTAGGAGTAAGAAGCAACCTAAGGAGGAAGACCCTACTTATGAGAAGTGGATGTAGGAAACTACATAGTTGTAGGTTCATGTTAATCAGCACTATTTGTGGATGGATATTGCAAAGGAGATATGAGACGGTGTTACAAAGACATATTCTCAGAAATTGAATGTAACTAGAGCTTATAAACTCAAGAGTGAGGTGAATAATCTGAGACAGGGGATTAAGTTGATGGAAACTGTTGTATGGCAATTCACTAAAGATGGTGAGACTCACAGTAAGTTGGTAGAGCGGAATGGGGTATTTGAGTTCCTCACTGGGCTCAATCTCACATATGATATTGTGAGGTAGAATATCCTAGCAAAAGATGAGGTGACCCTATCTCAATCTTATGCCTTGGTTAGTAGTGAGGAGAGTAGGAGACATGTTCAGATTGTGGAAGCTCTAGTTGATCACTTTGCCAATGTTGGGATGAAACCAAAGGCTACTACTGAAAAGAATGATGTGGTGTGTGACTATTGTAAGAAACCAAAACACACAAAGGACACTTGCTGGAAGTTGCATCCATAGCTATTACCTGCTAGATTCAAGAAGAGTAATAATGATAAGAAGAATGGAAGTGTGAGAGGTGGCATTTCTAATGTAGCCACCTCCTCTGAGAATGAAAAAGGGCCTGGTGATGAGAAGTCTATAGGGGATTAGCTTGCAACTACTAGAGCAGAGTATGAGAGGTATGACCGAATCATTGACCACTAAGAGTCTACTATCACAACTCCTACTTCTTTAGGAAACAACTCCTCTTTAGCATATGCCCATTTAGGTATTTGTGCCACCACGAATCATGGTTCTATCTTAAGTAATTATAGGATCCCTTGGATAATAGATTCTAGTGCTTCTGTATATGACCAGCATGCCCCATTTGTTCACTACCTATCAGCTTTTATCAGGTCGAAGCAAAATTTCCCTTGTTGATGCCTCTCTTTGCTCTTTTCTCAAGCAAGGGGAACACTAAGACCTCATCCTCCCTTACCTTGTCTTTAGTTTTTCATGTACCTAAGCTTAATACTATCCTTTTCTCAGTTAGTAAATTGACAAAACCTTTGAATTGTAGTGTAACCTTTTTCCCTTCATAATATGTTTTTTAGGACATGAAATCCTAGATGGTGATTGGGAGTTGCCATGAGGCAAATGAGATATACCTGTTGGACATACTCAAGCAAAAGTCACGTACCACCTTAGAGAGCTGCCTTTGGGTCGCATGTTTCAAAGTTAGTTGAATCATGATGTGTCATTGTCATTTGGGCTATCTTTCCCTTCATTCATTGAGTCTCTTGTTTCCAACATTATTTAAAGGAATAAATTTTTCCAGTTTACATTGTGTGAGTCTTGTGAATTGTCAAATCATTGTAGAAACTCTTATCTAACAAGCAATAAGAGATCTACTTCACTCTGATGTGTAGGGGCCTTGCCAATTGACCTTACATGGGTGGCTATAAATACTTATTTGTTTATCAATGATTTCTCACACTATACTTGACTTTGTCTATCCATTCTCGTGTTGAAGTACTATGTTGGATTGAAGTCTTTGTATGTATGAGTATTCGGCTGATGAGAGTTCTTATTAGCCTATACTTAAGTTTAAGTTGTCCTGTACTGGGCCTTTGTTAATGGGCCTAATCCTGTTTAATGTTTTAAGTTGTCTGGGTGTCCCATCACTAATCAGGGGAGTTCTAGTAACTTCCTGTATCATTGTACTACATCATAATATAAATAATAGTACTGTCGACTGAGCTGGGAGTTCAACATTCCAACATCTCTTCTTCTTCTTCTTCTCTTTTCTGCTACTTTGGCTACAGTAATTTAGCTTTCATACTAGAACTTGTAAAGCGTTTCCATGAACTTGTACTCACACAATTTGACATCCGCTTTAAAAATATTCTGCTTAGACAATGTTGAAGTACTAGAGTTTTGTGCTCGTACTCCAGAAAAAAATGGAATAATAGAGAGGAGGAATCGATATGTTGTAGAAGTAGCTAGGAGTATCTTTTTTGCCTCTCATGCCCCTATAAAATTTTGAGGTGATGTTTGACAACTTCTTGTCTCATTAACCACATGCCTTCCTAGGTTTTGGGGTTCAAATCTCTCTTTGGTGTTCTCTTCCCGGATGTTGATATCTTTTCCGTTCTATTGTGTCTCTAGTTGTACCTATTGTGTTCACATTTCGAGTTCTCAAAGACATAAATTTGACCCTAAGGCTCGGAAGTGTATTTTTCTTGGTTATGCCTCCACATAGAAAGGTTACTGTTGCTTCGATCCCATTAGTGGCATTCGGCTTGTTTCTTTGGATGTCAATTTTGTTAAATTAGTTTCCTTTTATGGTCATTCTTCTAAGGGGGAATGTTTTATTGTGTTGTTTTCTTCTCCACTTCCTTTGTCAGTTCTTATTGAATTTTGTGCTAAGCCCTTTGTAGTTTCTTCTATTCCTGTTGAACTTTTTTTTTTGATAATTGAATGAAATTTATTAATTAGCAATGATAAATAGTACAAGGTCCCCAAGGAGAGGCATGAGATGCAACCTCTCCAAGCTAAGTACAACTTTCCAATATACTAGAACAAGTTACAATGTAGCACAAAAAAGACCTTCCTTGGAAACCCCCTGTTTGGCCAAAGAATCAGCCATAGTATTAGCCGACATGCTTACCTATTTAACCTCAACTCTCATATTAGTGGTTAACCACTTTACTTTTTTGATGAGGTCTTTGTAGCCCCAAATGGTAGCATTCGGGTTTAGAAGCCACCCTGTTACCACCTGAGAGTCCCTTCAACTAGGAGATGTTCCACCCCAAGTTGGTTGGCAATCTAGATCCCTTGTACAACAGCTAATATTTCTGCACTTGTAGAGTCCCCCACTCCACCGGTCCTGGGAATAAGGAGATGATGTTTCTATCCTTATTCCTCAAAACACCCCCTATACCCGAAGGCCCAGGTTTACCTTGGCTGTTCCCATCAAAATTTAACTTGATGACACCTTTTGGAGGTGGATTCCATTCTAACAAACTTCGATTCTTCTTGGTAGAAGTATCAGCTATTACTGACCAATTCCTCCATAGGTTATCAAAAGAGAAATCAACAAATATATCCAAGGTTTTCAGACAATGTATTTCTCTTGTTAGGATACAGTTCTTCACTTCATCCAAGCTTCTTTCATTCTCTAAGAAGACTCTTGCGTTTCTTTCCTCCCAGAGAGTCCATAAGGTGGCTGCCCCGGATACATTTCCACATGAAGTTGCATCTTCTTGTGTGCCATACAATGATAGATGGGTTAAATAACAAACTCGCATAAGATTGCGGAGACCAACTACCTCCAAATAAACTAAGACTCCAACTCCATAAGGCTGTAGCAAAGGAGCAGGAGATCAGCAAATGGAAACAGTCCTCATTCCAGGCCTTACACAAGGAACATCAGCTCGGGGAAAGGCAAAGAAAAGGTCTCTTTTTCTGCAAGTTTTCCAAAGTATTGATTTCCCTGTAGTAAACTTCCCAGCATAATACATCAATTTTTGGAGGAACAGTTCGCACCCAAACTTCTTTATTAGGGAACACTCGGGAACTGGGGTTGGAGCTGAGGGATTTAAGAAAAGAAGCACAAGTAAATGTACCTTTTGGAAGAGGAGTCCAAACTCTTTGATAAGAAGATGTGGGGTCCAAACAAACTGACTCAAGTAAATGAAGCAGCTCAGTGACACAAGTCAACTCACCATCCCTTAATCCCCTGATAAACTTGAGGAAACTTGTCCTCCTAGCTCAAATATTCCTACTCCCCCTCCACTTATTCATCCCCTAGTTTTCACTACTCATCCTATTGACTAGAGGTGGTACCAAAGGCAAAGACTAAGGCATGAATAGGTTGTTCCTTAGTTGAGTCATAAGCACTTCCAACTCTTGAAGAGAGGACATGTCCTCCACAACCTGCTCCAATACCTCCCTTCCTAGACCTTGATCTACCTATTATTGTGATAAAGGGTAAGAGGAAATGTACAACTCACTGCATTTTTAAACACCTTTCCTACAACTTGCTATCCCCTTCTTACTATTCCTTCTTAACCTCTATTTCATCTCAACCCATTCCTAATTTTGTAACAAAAGTCTTATCTATACTATAATAGAGGGATGCTATAAAGACTATGATAGAGGCACTTCATAAGAACAATACCTAGGATATTGTAGACTTACCTATCGGGAAGGAGCTTGTGGGGTGCAAGTGGGTGTATACTATTAAGTATCATTCCAATGAGACAATTGAAAGGTATAAAACTCACCTGGTTTCCAAGGGCTATACATAGGTTTATGGAATAGATTATAAGGGGAATTTTTCATTGGTGGAAAAGATGACTTCTGTGTAGGTTCTCTTATCTTTGGTAGTGGATATATCACTTTGATGTCAAGAATGCTTTCTTGAATGGTAATTTAACTGAAGAAGCGTATATGTCACTT